AGTGAAGTGTAGAACAGTGCAGCTGGTCTTCATTCTAAATAGTCATTTTATGATTGTGGGAATAAGAGATTTTGAAGTAATGGAAAGGGGAAAAATGGAAAGGGGCGGCACGGTGGCTCAGTTGGTAGAGCTGATGCCTCTCAGCAAGAAGGTCACCGGTTCAAATCCCGGTCTGGGGACCTTTCTGGGTAGTTTGCATGTTCTCTCYGTGCATGTGTGGGTTTTCTTCAGGTACTCCAGCTTCCTCCCACAGACCAAAAACATGACTGTTAGGTTAACTGGTGTCTCTAACTTGTCCCTAGGTGTGAGTGAGAGAGTGAACGATTGTCTTGTTTGTCTCTATGTGTCCCTGTGGTGGACTTGTGTTCTGTCCAGGGTGTACCCCGCCCCTCGCACTGTGACTGCTGGATGTGGGCACCATTGACCCTGAAAGGAACAAGCGGGCTGGGTATACATAATGAATGGATAATTAAAAATAAGATGTAAAGTTGATGAATAAATATTCATCTCCTTAAAAATGTGTCTTTATTCAACTCAGAGAAAAAGAGGTTATKGTAAAGTGCTAGTTACAACAGGACTTCCAAAGCTCTAAACAGCCTCAGGCTTTCTGTTTCAGCCATCATCTAAAAAGGAAGGCTGTATAAATCTAAAGATTGTTTGCTGTTTCTAAACAATCTAGACCAGGGGTGGGCTACTCTGAATGTTTTACTTCGGTCCCTGCTCTAACCCACCTGATTCATTTACTGAATTACCTCTTCAAGTTTCACACCTGGGTATCCTGCTTTATTTCAAGGTGGAACAGAGGAACAAGTAAACATGCAGGACAGTGGCTCTTGAGGATCAGGACTGGGCATGCTTGATCTAGACCAGGGGTCTGCAACCTTTACAATCAAAACAGCCCTTTCTGCTCGCTATTAAAATGTGTCCAGAGCCGCAAAATATGCTACAACTGTGATTAGCAACTGGTGGTCCGTGGGCCTTTTCAAGGCCTTTTCGTGAACCTTTATGGCCAGTGGAGGTGACATAAACCTAAAAAATATATTGTGAATTTTATTATGTGAATTATATAATTTTACACTTCAAGACTGAAAAAAACATTCATGCACAAGAACAATAWGAACTATAGTTTATACAGAATTTTATAAACACTAGTACAGCTGATTTAGTCAGACATTCTTTTCCTAATTCTTATTATATAGTCCTGAAGGTGTTTAAAGATAACCCTGATGGATTTGAGAGAAAGATTATAGAAAGAAGTTGGATTATTCAGGTAGAAAACAGGCTAGCATGAGCCAACAATTTTACTTTTTGTATTAGTATTTTTGTATTAGTGGTATTGATCACATATTTGCATAAAATGAATTAGTATTGTGAGTATAAAAAAACTGTTATGTTTGGTCACATTTTCAAAGAGCCACTGCAGAGGGACCAAAGAGCCACATGTGGCCCCAGAGCCACAGGTTGCAGACCCCTAATCTAGACAAACCCTAGTTCAGTTTATTAAGAGAGAGGTCCAGCTCCCACCCTGAAGGCATCACATCTTCACCCCATACTCATGTAGCACCACCCACAGTCTACCTCAAGAAACACATTCATTCGCTTCACACGTAAACTGGTTGGGTAGGCTCCCATATCCCCTGGAGGAACCTATAAGGGTAAAGAGCTGGTCCAGTCTTTTACGACCAGAACAGAACCCATGTTGTTCCTCCAGAATCCAAGGTTTTTGACCCTTGACCAGTAATATTCCTCACTGGGGAGAACTGAAACACATCCTCCAGTCTACCCTTTTTGAAGAGCGGAACCAGTCTGCCTGTCCTGTGGCACTGCCCTCTCAATGTCCATGCAATGTTTTAAAGGCGTGTCAACCAACACAGACCAGTAACAGCTGGTAAAGCCTTACCTTCAGCTGCTGCCCATAGTACCATACACTGACTCTGTGCCCACATGAAGGTAAACCCATCAGAATACTGTTATATACAGCATTCTGAATGCATCCTAAATAATGGGTATTTAAATATATATTATGTATTCTTGAATACATGCATTCTATATTTAAATCAATTTCATTTTAAATATTAAAACTATTACTACTGTCAGAAAGTTAAAGGAATTTTTGAACCTAATTGTTTTCTGAACAGACTGTTGTACCTCTGCAGAGAACTTCACACATTATTCAGAAGAAATCAAATAAACTGGATTATTAAGAGTTTGAATTTTTGGATTAAGCAGTAAACGTTATTGGTAAATTGTTTAAATTTTAATTGGCCTTTGCTTTTTWTTAGATATGTTATTACTCGAAGAAATATTGTAACACTTGTCAAATTTGTGAAATAATTTACCTTTAAAAACTGTCCAGAAAAGCAGAAAGTGAAGTGTAGAACAGTGCAGCTGGTCTTCATTCTAAATAGTCATTTTATGATTGTGGGAATAAGAGATTTTGAAGTAATGGAAAGGGGAAAAA